ATCTCGCCAGCAGCCCTCTAGCTCGAGAAATGGTCGGGGCAATTGGAATTCTCGTTCCAACAATTGGGGAAACCAACAAAAAGGGGTGATTAGTGCGGCTGTCATTGTGACCGACACTAAGAAAGCCGCCCCTCAAACCTTGAACCTCTCTAAAGGGGTAGTCACAACCAAGGCACAGACAACACCTCAGGCTGGAGGCAAGCAGCAACAGTCCTATAACAAGGTCCCTCCCCCTAAAATTCTAAATCGAAGTGACTACTGGATTCAGCACTAGAACAAGGTGTACCCCTTGAGAAGGAATGGGTTCTTACGCTATTTCGGTTACTATTAGAGTAAAACATGATCCAGCTGCTGGAGGTCAAATCCCCAGAGCAGGCTGGAAATGAGACACACGAGAGATACTACGCATATCACAGAAGAGTAGGCCACCCCACTCAAGAGTGCTATACGCTCAAAGACATTATCGAAGCCCTTATTAACAAGGGCCAGATAAAGCTTGAAGAGTTAAAGAAAGCGACTGAGGCTTCCCACGTAGTGACAATCCAATAACATGACGAGGCACCTACCGTCCTCCATGTAGTATTCTCCGTAATGCTCGAAGAAGGTCTCGTCACACTGAAGCCGACAAGGCAGCCCAAGCCCCTGCCTCCAGGAACTGAAAACCTCTGGTGTCCATATAATCTCCTACGAGGCCATGATCTGAGCGAATGCACTACCTTCCACAAGCTCTTGGCAAAGAAGATGCAGCAGCACCAAGAAGTTCATGGTAGCCAGAAGGACACCCTCAAGTCCCTGCTCCACCAGTGCAAGAGGACCTCCCGACACAAGCCCAGGGAAGTGCGCTAGACCCATTGCAAGCCCTCTTCGAAGCGATGCTCCAACAGGGTCTTGTCACTCCGAAGCCCGCTAGGCACTTAGGCATCTTGTCTAGGGTATGGAAAATCTCTGGTGCCCATATCACTAGGTATGGGGCCATGAGTTGACGGAATGCTCTGGGTTCGAAGCTATAGTCGCGGAGAAGGTATAGAAAGGCCACATTGTTTGTGTCATTCTCCCAGAACGCTTCCAAGCCATCACTCCCGTCCAGGAGGAAATCCCACCTCAAGTCCCCTATGAGCATACCTTAGACCTTTCAGAGCCCTCGACTTCTTAGCCTAGAGATGTCTACCGTGGACATAGTAGGCTCAAGTCCTTGAAGCGTGAGGCAGTTCGCGAAGCTAAGGTTACTCACCAGCCCGATAGGACGAACCAAACACCTCCCAAGGGATCCAGAAGGAGACAAGCACCCAGGTCAACTCGCCGAAGGAACCATATCTCGTAGCCATTAGTTGAGAGCAATTCCTCAAACCCCTTCCTCCACTGTCGACTTTACAAGACTTCATCCCAGGCGCAACTTGCCTTATCCCTTCATCCAATCAGGTGAACGTCCCTGAGTCATCAACTGCTCGGGACTCGTCCAATACGGGTGACGGCATTAAAAGCATCCTCCAACGGTCAGAGCCGGGGCAAGACCTAAAATACCCTTTGCACACGTCCAATTCTGGTGATGACATAAAAAGCTGCCCAAAACACTCTAACTCTGCTTTTTCTTCTTCTCCTCCCTCTTCTTCTATCTCTTTCACAGGTGCAGCTCGGCAGTGCCCAGACTTCTAGTCTCATCACCGTTTGGAGATGAGGACTAGAGCGTCATTTCGAGCTTGTGGGGGGGCACTTTGTGTGACCCTTGTGTATAAGAGGGGGTAAAAACTCCATTTTACTGCTTTACCTTCGGTGAAATAGTGAAGGGAGTTTTAAAGAACGAGAGCTTCCGTCAAGAGACTTCCGGCGAGAAACCTCCAGCCAGGCCATGGTACACAGTCGTTCAAGAGCTCTCCGGCGAACTTCAGCAAATCGTGAACCTTCGCAGAGTGCTTGCGAATGTTTTGAGAGAGTGCCAAGGCCCATGGGGCTTTGAGGAGAAGGAAGCCTGGTGGAGTTGCAGGCATTGCAGAGGAGCTTCAGCGAGCTCTTGGGCACTACGAAGGAGGAGATGGACAAACCAAGGGTCACCAACTAATCTCGGGAACCCTCGGTGATGCATGACCAAATCTTTAGGCTCAAGTCCTTGAAGCGTCGAAGTCTGGGCACTGTCGAGCTGTTTAAAGTCTATCAGGCTCCAATGGCAGGGTTTTCAACCATGCCGGATCCAATGGTAGTGGTCCCACGGTCGTTTGATGCTTCGAGAGTAGGGTCCCAGTTATAGGGATCCATTTTAGGGTGCTAGAGGCTGATTCTGCCAAAACTGTTTCTCAATCTGCACTGCCCTAGACATGTCGGAATGCGATGAAACTTGGTAGGAGACTTTTAGGAGTCCTTATAAAGATCTTGACCAGTTTTGGGGCCATTCGACTGGCTTCTCTCTTTTATTCCGCATGGGGACCCATGGTATCGAAAAATGTCTTCAAAGACATTCATGTATGTTAAACATAGAAAACCCTAGAGGAGAATAAATGAGAGTATGAGTTTTGAGTTTCTTGACTCCATTTCCCTGCAATTTTCCTAATATCCTCTTTTTAAGAGAATAACTTTAGAATTACAAGATCATTTCTTCCTCGAGTTTCTTGTTCAATCTCTATCTAATCAGATCCAATAAAGAAATTTGTTAAAATACCTATGAGAAATGAGCTATTTAACATTTTACCCAATTGCAACTATTCCAACTTGTGATCGTGTGTTGCAGTTAAATCAAAAGATATGGGTAGAATGTTAAATAAATAGTTCACGTCTCATGGGCATTTGCATAAATTTCCCATAAATTGATCTTTAGCTCTAATTCTAACAAATTCCTAGATTATCTTTGGAAAGTTTAGGGAATATTGGATTCCTATCTCAAGTCTTTCCACAGAATTTCAAATCTCTTATTTAAATTTGGCAATGCCAAACATCCTTATAACGTTTTGGATTCCAAAAATTTCAAATCTCTTATTTAAATTTGATTGTTAGTGCCTCAGCCTTATAACGTCTTGGATTCACAGATACAATGTCACTGCTATTAGAAGGTGCACCTTACTTTGATTGTGCCTAATATATTAATGGGTCTGGTTTGTATAAGGTTGCAACCTTATTTGTAAAACTAATGTTGTGATACTCTACACTGTCCATCTCATTAAGACGGTGTAGATTTGACATGTCTTTTAAGACAATGTCAATTCTAGGGGTGTCTTTTAAGATAGTGTCCAATCTATACTGTCCAAATAAAATGGACGGTGTAGATTATTGCAACCTTATTTCTACAAATAAGGTTGCAACCTTATATAAACTATTTCCTATATTAATAGATAGATGATAGATTTGTAGAATTGAAAATTAGGAGATGGAACTTCATTGAAGAAGTGACCAATTTTGCACATTACACATACACCTAAAAGAGGTCCTAAAATGAAAAAGAGATTGTCTAATTTTTGCACAAGTGGATCTAAATTGTTTACAAGCTTCAACTTAAATTTTTTTATTTAAAAAATACCCATGGTTCATTTTAAAGTATCGACAAATATTTAAAGGACGCGGTTATTGTGAGTCATCCAACTCACCGAGATTTGTGAGTCCCTAAGATGAACATTAAAAAAAGGTGCCTCCATTAAAACTCAAGATGGATGGTAGAGAAAAAAGAATAAAAATATTATTTCTACTTTTCAGAAATGGAAAACTCAAGATTATGATCACCATCAAGATTTTAGTAAACTCCAAAGTTTAGATCAAATGTCAAATGTGAAGAAACATCTAATCAGTTGAATAAAAGTTAAAAACAAAGAATGAGGTCACGAGGTTAGGTTTTACGTTTGGTTGAATAAAAATGAAAAAAGAATGAAAAATGTGGTGGGAGGAAGCCTGAAATTTTGGGCAATAGAGACCGGAGAGGGAGAAAAAGTAAAACAAGAAAGAGATGAAAAGAGGAATCCTGAAATTTCAGTCCTGAGAATTCAGTGAACAATGAAGAACCCTGAAATTTGGGGTGGACATCATAAAGGACTAAGAGAGCGAGATGACCCTCCATTTGTCGCTAGTTGGATGGGGCGTCTATTACCAAAAGAATATCTATTTATTTTCTTCTTCATATGAGAAGAAAATTATGCTTACATTTGACTTTACTGAGAAGGAGGCTAAAGGGAGAACTCCGCTAGTGGAGAATAAGGTTAAAAGTGAAACATTGTGATTATTAGGTAAGTTCAATATAATGGCTATAGTAGACATTGAAGTGTTATTTATTGTTGATAAAGTAAGGTTGTTTCTTATAATTATGGAGGGAATATATTGTAAATCTTAAAAAATAACTACTCAGTTTTGAAAGACATTTATGATGCACATAACAAATGCTATTAGTGAAAGATAATTTCTCAATTCTTGACAAAATTTATAATGCATAAAAAAAAATCATTTTAGTTTTACTGTAATCCTATTATAAGCTAATAAATCCAAGGTTTAATGGAGTTACATTGAAGATGAGTCCATAACCGACTATGTGCAAGTGGCTTGCAATCATGATGACTATAGAAATCCTATATAATTGAGACTAAACACTTCTTGACTGTTTTTTTTTTTTTTTTTAACAAAATAAATGGAGATTACACTGAATTTGTATGCTAGATCTGGCATTTGCAACTGTCTTATTGATGCCTCACTTGTTGGAGTCAAAGCGTTCAAACTAATAAGAAGTGAGGTACATTTTAATTTCAGATTGTAGTTTAAAAAATATTTATGTAGAATTTGAGCTATTTATCGTGAAATTGGTTTCATTATCTTTTTCTTTTACATTTCAAATGCTCCTTAAACTTTATCAGGTCTCATAAATTGACAACGAATTAAGCCAATGTTTAAATTCATTTTTTTGTCATCTCATGCTCTTTAAACCACATATGCATTTCGGTAGTATATATAGATAGATAGTTAGTTAGATAGATAGATTTGTTATATGTTTTGTGAAATGACAAATTTGGTCATCTCAGTATATACTTCCTTTGCAGCTTGTTCTTCAAGCAAGAAATGGAGCTTTCCCTGATAGGACTTCAGAATGCTGGGAAAACATCACTTGTGAATGCTATTGCAGTGAGTAGATCTTGTTTCTCTTCTCATCCATATATCCACCATATTTATGAAAGGCTTTACCATCTCTGCTCACCTGGAAATCCTTTATTCTCACCAGACTGGAGGATACAGTGAAGACATGATCCCGACTGTGAGTTTCATTCTGTCTATGATCATTGAAATTCAAGAATTCCTAGCAGAATGCTTTATTAATCAGGACTCCATTGAAGCATTTCTTTTTCACCTCTGGTGATTAGGTGGGTTTCAACATGCGGAAAGTTATGAAGGGAAATGTGACAATAAAGTTGTGGGACCTTGGGGGCCAGAGGAGATTCCGCACCATGTGGGAGCGTTACTGTCGTGGTGTCTCTGCAATTCTGTAATTTCTAACCTCTACTTCTACAAACTTCACAAACTCTCAATAACTTTGTCGTGCTCTTTTTCTATTTTAGTCTTCAATTCTAGCTCTTTGGATGCTACCTCTTTGAATGGTATTTGGGAATCATAACCACTTGTCTATTGTGAAGAGAATGGATTGTTTGGTGCATGGAAAATTGATAGTAATTAAGTAATAAGCTGCAAATTTCTCAATTTCTGCATTCTTAGTTAGTCTGGAATATAAGCCAATTCAGTATATATAAAACATATACCATTCCATACATTTATATCAGGGAAAATAATGTATATATCTGTTATATTTACCGTTCTTACGGAAATACCTCAAAGTTTCTATTATTACTCATATATCCATTTTTTCAACTTCCTAAAAATTGTTTTTAAAAAATACGGAATTGCCCATTTTTTGGTTTCCAAAACCGAAATCTTTAAAATTTTCTGTTTTTCGAATAATCGAAATTTTTAAAATTTTTGATTTTTCAAAAATCAAAAAATGAAGAATTTTTGGTTTATGAAAATCCGAATATTATAGTATAAGTGCAACTTGTTATTAGTAAGCTGTGGGTTGGTGTGTTGGTAGTGCTTCCTATGTAGTGGACCTCTTTACAAGAGGTCTTGGCTTCCATTCTGATGGGGGGCTTTTTTTTTTTCTCTCAAAAAAAAAAAACTCCAAAAAAGATGACGTTTTAAAAAATGGAGTAAAACATTGTTTGTATGCGAACCCGAGCACGGCCAAACTTATGCAATCGTACTAACCAAAAAAACATTCTAGCAAATCTGATTTAGATTTAAGGTATTAGAATAATTAAAGCTAAAAAAGTCATCTTTTCTGGAGTTTAAAAAAAAAAAAATAGCCCCCCATCAGAATGGAAGCCAAGACATCATGTAAAGATGTCAACTACGTAGGAAGCACTAACCAACACACCAACCCACAACTTACTAATAAGAAGTTACACTTATACTATAAATATTCGGATTTTAAAAATCCAAAAATTCTTTATCTCTGGTTTTTGATAAACCGAAAGTTTTAATAATTTTGGTTTTTGAAAACCGAAAATTTTTAAGATTTCAATTTTTGTAAAACAAAAAATGGGCAGTTCCGTCTTTTTTCTAAAAAATTATTTTATTTTATTTAATGAAGTGAACGGTTGTATTAAAGAAAAGAAAGGGGAGTTATTAGGAAGTTGAAAAAACAAATGTACGAGTAATATCGGAAACTTTGAGGTATTTCCGTAATAACGGTAAATATAACAGATATATACGTTATTTTCCCTTTATATAATGGTGATGATGATACCATGCTATATATTCATGTGGTGCATTGGCCATGTCCATCATTGTGACACCTTTAGCACTACACTCGTACAGCTATGTTGTAGATGCAGCCGATAGGGATAGTGTGGCCATCTCAAAGAGTGAGCTCCATGACCTTCTTAGCAAACCTTCTTTAAGCGGTATCCCATTGCTCATTCTTGGGAACAAGATAGATAAATCAGAAGCCCTCTCAGGGCAAGCACTCGTCGATCAGCTGTGAGTTTTATATACTCATGGGTCTACAGAGCTTACTTTTTTCTTTTCTTTTTTACTTTATTTTCTTTTTATCATTCATCTATATTGATATATTGAGTTCTCATTTTCCCGATTTGTGTGTTTTGTTGTTGTTGTATGGATGAATAGAGGCATTGATGCTATCAAAGACAGGGAGGTGTGCTGCTACATGATTTCATGCAAGGACTCGATAAATATTGACACGGTCATTGACTGGCTAATCAAACACTCAAAAACTGCCAAATGAAAGAGAGTTTCCTGTATTTATGATGTGATTTGGCTGTATATACTGATTTGGCTGTATATACTGTTATTTCTTTCTTGATAAGTTCTACTGTTAAAAATTTGTGTTATATCTGTATTCCACCATGCCTTTGAAAGTGGTGCTTGATGCGGGTTCTCTGCACCACTTTGTCACGTTCTTTATTTATTTTCTGAAACTTAGGTGACAATCTCTAGTAATTATTCTGAGTGGCTAGAAGTGATAACGCTTGTCAAACCATTTGACAAAACCTTTAGATTTAATGGTGATGCCGTGGCTCTTTGTTCTGTTATCTCAGGGAGCTTTAAAATGAGAAATTCAAATATAGCATTCTATACTCCATGTACTCGTATTACAAGAAATGGACCTGCACAAACAACATGGAAGACTTTGGAGGCAAAAAATCAAGTTGGAAGGACACTACTAAAACAGGGGCTATGCTAAACGGTAATATGTCGAGATTGCTCCTGTTATGCACCCCAACTTTTGATTTTTGTAACATAATTTTCTGATGATTTGTTTTAATGGATGGCGGGGATCAGAAGTTTTGACTGGTAAGAGAACAGGAACTCTCTCTTGCTCTCTACCTCCTGCTCTCTTTCATGCACACTGTCCTCTCTCTGTCTCTCACACACACTCACACTCAGGCACTCTCTCTCTCTCTCTTACTCAGGCTCCGTCCCCCCTTCTCCTTTTGGAAGAGTGTGTGCCAAGAAGTAAGGTCCAAAGGGTATGAAAAACAACAGGTTATACAGCACCAAGCACTCTACTTAGCATCGTAAGCAATGATCTCCATCTTCCTCCCCCTTCAACATGCAAACGGCATCTATGTGATGGCTCCGCCATTGTGGCATTCTGAGGTTCACATTGGACAGCCGTACAATGCTTTCCCAATAGATAAGAGATTTGAGATTTGAGATTGGAAAGGAAATAGAGGGGGATTTGCAGCAGAGATATGCAGGGGGATGGTAAGGAAGGTAGAAGTCCATTTTGCTAGAGGGGATATGCACAGATAAATGAGAGAGATGGCGGAGGAGAAAGGAGGGAGTTCACAATGAAGAGGAGAAGAAGATGGTGTGAGTGAGGACGACGAATGTTAGTAGCCTCTTTTGATATTTTTGGTTGAAAACTTCAGTCATGCTATCCTAGCCGTCCTTTTAAATTTGGATTCCTATGAATAGATAATCACAAATATTTTATTTGTGGCACCATCCATATATGAAACATATGTGACAAGCTTTGTGGCGCCACCCATATATAAAACTCAAATCCATTCTCTTTTTACTTTAGTCCAACACACCAAGTTTTTCTCTTCCTCTTCTTCAAAGAACCATTCCCCCTATACCAAAGTACTGCCCAAAGCATGAACTCTTTATCTTTAGCCTTTCTTTAAATCCCCATCATTTCTAAGTCGAATATAATTTAGATTTTCCTATGAAGAGAACAATGAAGAAATCGCCTTTCCATCAGCAATTTTTAGCCTTGACTATCGATTCTCTCTAAAAGTGGGGCCAATATCGAGAACTTCGTGCCTGGTGGTTTCCTACAAATCCGCATCACGCAAATGAAAACAGAGAGAGATAGAGAGACTGCTGAGTATTAAGGTCCAAAAGATATGAAAAACGAGAGGCTACATGGCACAAACTCTTTGCTTTTAGCATGATAAGCAAAGAACTTGATCTCCCTCTATATCTTTGTTAGGTGTCCTATCCCATAACAAAGGGACACCAGTGAAAATATCCCGTTATGTGGGGTATAAGATTAATTTTATTAAATGACTTGGTGGCCAAATCGTTGAGGACGTTAACAAGGGATAACTTCCAGGTGAGATGATTAGGGATTTTCGGACACATCTCATCCCACAAAAAAAAATGAAGCCTCAAGTAGATGTTAGGTTTTGTTTTTAAGAAAATGAGTTCCTGGTATTACTTTTGTTTTTTTAAAAGATATATTTGCGCGTTTGTTGTTTTAAAAGATATATTCTGGAAAGTTATATGTTTTTAAATCTTATAGAAAGTTGAATGTTTTGTTTTGAAATGTTTAAATAAATTTTGGGTATTGTGTTTGGTGCAGGCTTTCTATGCTTCCTCTACAACATAAAACTTATATATTTCCCTTTATCCGACCATCCATTATGAATGGAGGGTTAAGATTGCCCCAATCGCAATGTCATCTCTACACTATTTTATTTTTAATTTTTTCCTATAAATCATTTTGGCACAAAAGTTTTACGTTCAATCCTAGATTAAACTCGCACTAGCAAAACATATAAAAAAATATTTTCAATAAAATAAAATGACTAAAATACCCTTGAAAGTTTTAAGGGGTATTTTGGTCATTATATTTTATCAAAAAATTATTTTTAATATTTTTATAGGTGCGCCCCAATGAGAAGATGGTACGAACCAAATTTCATATTTATAAAATTTGTATAAAAAAAACTAAAAAGAAAATGCTTTGAGACATCAGATCTAAAATCAAACGGTGAGTGGCACTCTTGATCAAAATTGGATGGCTAGATGGTAGGGGAAGCATAGATCTTCTATGCTGTAGGGGAAGTATAAAAACCTTTCCCTTGTATTTGATAACCTGTTTGAATGTTAAGATAGTTTTGGGTATCATGTTTGATAACATATAT